GGGTTTTTTTCACGGTTTCATATCAAGTAAGAAGACATGAGATTCCAACTAATCTTCATGTGAGATGGCATCGGAGCTACAAACCGAAGAAGATCTGGTTTCGAAGCCGTATCACTACTGTTTCTACAAGGTTTTGAGGCCTTACAATGATGAAGCTGTTCAAGGAGCTTGGCAATGTTTGGAAGTACAAGCTCCCGACAGTGCAGGTGCAGCAATGGAACCTTAGACAACACACTTCCCTTTTGGACATCCAACCCTTCTGGCCTGCGCACTCTGTACTGTTTCCTGGTTGTGGGCTCCACTTCGCCTCTCGGCATCTGCTTCCATTTTTTATGTACGAACCATCCGTACTTGTAATCACCCACGATTGGACAGCCGAGCGCTTCAGCACAGTGCACGCGGAGCTGTTCACAATGACAGAATTACTGTTTCTAAGCGTTCATTGCTGTAATTAAGGTAAGTTTATGGTTCGAAGGTGGTCCCTTCAAAGTAACTACAAATGATTAGTATGCATTAAGCTAGCGCAGATTTTTTAAACAAAATTAACGAAATCAATGTGCACAGAGGGGAGAAACAAATGATGGCACCTGATGTTTTCTGCTTGTACGTGGGCACAATTCTATCCAAGAACAACCATTGATTCTAGGACCTAGGACACGGTATTCCGTGACAGCCTCCTGGGGAGCTTCTAAGCTTGAGTTCTGAGCTAAGATGACTCTTTCAGTTTTCCCATCATCAAGAGACACCTGTTAGAGGAGGACAGGTCCCTTCACTCAATATGTCTAGATATTATTGCAATAGAGAAATTGAAGCAGAACCTTTGAAAGAGGTGCACATATTAAGCCTTCCTTTTCTTTGGGGGAACCTATTACTAACACCCAATATCTTCGATATGTTCCCTTACTACAAACATCCCACACCTGAAGAAGGTCAAAGTTCCCATTAAAAATACTTTAATTTGAAGAAAATTATAACTTAAATTAAATATAAAAGATGAGGATGATGACTTTAGATAAAGCAGGGGATAGATCCCCTAATCCTGCTTCAACTCAATGGGTTTGCAGAAGTTAGTACCTGTGACTGAAATTTCTTTTTCGTTGAGTCGCTGAGAAACAAATGAAGAAGGGATATGCTTTCATCTGTTCTTCCCATCAAAAGAAGACCACTGCTCTCCCTATCAAGATGATAGACCTGCATAATAGAAATTATACTCCGTAAGAGAAATTAGGAGAAATTAAGTGATACCGCAGAACTCCATTTTAGAAAAATCATCAATAAGCCGATCAGTGATGACAATAAATTATACTCCGTAAGAGGCTTCTCTTACCAGCCTAGGGCCCACGTCATAATCATAAGAAAGTGCAGCAGCTGCCAAAGCATCCATGCTATTGTGAACTGGAAGGTTTCCCTGATATGCAATAATAAGATACGGGATATGAGGAAAGAATCACTTGAATGAAATCAGAATATCAGACAAGCCTAATAAATAAAAAGATGCTACCTTTACTGGAAGTTTAGGAGGCTTATTCAGCACAATTAAGGCAGAGTCCTGGAAGATTGACGGCTAACCATTAGTTACAGAAACAATGCATATATTGTGCACAATTCAGAAACAAAATTTAGATATTAGGACTAAATTAGGACTAAATGGACATGTTTGATGGTAAATTAATTCATTCGTCTAAAATTCTAGAGTTGGGAAACGTACCTTGTAAGTTACCAGCCGTTGTAAGTAGGCTATCTCATCAGCATTGGGATACAGGGTTCCACTTGGTATAATATCAAAGCGCTTGGAAATTCTGGATTCTGCAATGGTTACAGATACATGAACTCTTGCACCCATCTCCATGACCTCATAATGCCTAATCTGTGAAATTACTATACTAAAGGTAAGTGAAATCTGAAGAACAAAAGAAGTTTATCAAGAGCATTTCTTCGTCTTTTTTTCTGCTCCCAAAAAGTTGAACAAAACAGCTGGCTCATGACACATCCTAAACTCCTAATAGCATCACTACCTTTCTCATGGAAATTTTAGACGAATCATTTGAATCACGGCATTCAACCTGCACCTGTGAGAGTGCAAAACCATGGATTCAGAATAAAGAAAACCTTATGATTATCTAATTGTATATATTGACGACATGATCAAACAAACGCAGGACCTAGCACAGAGGTTAAATTTGATGGCGTTTTAAGATGCTAGAAAATTCATGGAATCACTTGCATTTTGATTTAATTTAGTGTTTGACCAATTCCATCAAGTTCTGATTTGTATTTCTTTGTTCTTGGCTATAAAATCCCCAAAATTCCAAAAAAAAAAATCATGTTTTGGATTAGCAAATTAACATCAAAACTTATGGCAAAGAATTAATTTAGCAATGCTCACCAGACCCTGATTGAAATGGGATTGAATAACAGGACCAGGTATTTCGTCAAAGTAATATTTGAGCCAGCTAATGGCAGTAACTCCCCGACCAGGAGCGGTGGTAGGCTGCTTTCTGGGCAAATGGAGACCTTGAAATGGCGGCAAAGCCATGAACTGCGGCGGCTTTGGCCCTTCTTTGGGGCGGCCCAAACGGGCGACATTGTTTGAAACTCGGATCACGGGGTTTTCAAGAGAAATGTCGAATCTTTGCTTGGAGTAACACCTGACCGTGAAGAACAATTTAGGGTTTAGCCCTCTTTTCCTCATGCTCAGCACATGCTCGATGAATTTCCAGCAAATGGACCAGCACTAGTTAGACTTTCTTAAATTATGTAGCTACGGAGTACATATTGGCTGAGTTATGGGTGTTTTGCCTTCTTCCATATTGTATGCAACTCATAAATTTCAGACTAAGGTTTCTCTGCAAAGACCACTACCACTCCACCAATTGAGCTCGTTTCATTCACGGCCTGCAAATGGATCGGAATTAATAGCTTCAAATTTGTAATACTCCATAGAACTTGATTTGAACCCAGACCCGATCAAGCCCAAATCAGGGTCTAGACGGTTGAAAGTTTGGATTGTGTAACTCATATTGGGGAGGTCTTGACAAGAAGCGGACCGTATCATACTAATGAGGGGTTGGAAGGAGGGTGCGTGCGGTTTCAACATGTGGTATCAGAGTCCTAGTTCATGTTGGCAAGGACAGTGGACCGTGCTATGCAGAGTTCTCAGTGTGCCCAATGTGACAACATGACCGGAGATCTGCATGTGATGCCTTGTGCCGAATGTCTTCCTGACAAGTAGATGTCAGGTGGCGTGTCGTGTTGGGTTTTAACGGTGGTTGTAAATAATTTAGCCGATCAAATGGTGTGATTTTAGCGTATTGGTGGTCTGCGATATACCTTGTGATGAAAGTCTTTCCGACAGAAGAAGATCGGACAACGTGTCCTGCAGGTGTGTAGCAGTGGTGCATGATTGTGTGCAGATCAATATATTCGGTGAAATGGAGGTCACAAGTTTTGTGGTTGTTAGTTTGAGAGAGGTTTGTTGGGATGCTCCCACATATCAAATTTTTTATACAATCAATTATTTGGTTTAGAAAAAACTAAAAAATTGATTATTTTTTAATTCATTACTCTTAGACAATTATTTTCAGAAACTTAAATGACACTTCATGAAAATAAAGTTAAATACTTAATATATTTTTGATTCCTGTAAAAATAGTGAATTTTGTTTTTGGCATCTCTAAAATTTTTATTAGTTCAACCACACCGATAAAATTATTAGTTTTGTAAATACTTCACCACTAATTTAAATATATGTGTTGTTGATACCTATAAATATTATATACGTAGCATAAATTTTAGTCTTAACCCCTCCAAAATTCATTTCCTTCATCCATTACTTTTTTTAAAATGATTAAGTACTCTATAAAAGATTACATCTTTCATTTTATTTCAAAATATACTACTCCCTCCGTCTCTAAATAAACTTCCACTTTCGTTTTTTCTTTGTCCTCAAATAAACTTCTCTTTTCCCTTAAAAAAATCCTCTTTTATCCCTTACTTTTTCATACCATACCTATCACATCATACTTTTTCACTAATAATCTATATATCACATCTTACTTTTACACATCACATCAAAAGTATTTTTGAAAAGTCAACACAAAAGTATCTCCCTTAAATCCTCAAAAAGTCAAAAGAGAAGTTTTTTTAGGAACGGAGAGAGTATATTAGTAGAAGGTCAAAACGAGTAGCAATAGAACCAAATTTTATTGGGTGCCAAATAAACATTGCTGTCTACTAAATTCTACACTACTTTTCATATAAAATAATTTTAAAATAACTTTAATCATACATCGTAAAATGAAATAGACGATTTAAATTACCATACAAGTAATAGTATTCAATTATTCGTAGTGGAAACATTCCTGATAATTCTTTCAACCAGATTAAGATGTCCTCTGTTGTGTGGGCTTGTTTCTTTTGATTGAAATTGGCCTTTAGTTCTCAAGTCATTTCATTCTTCCAAGCAGGACTTCTATTTTGACCTTGTAGCACAGTACTCCGTACATTCGGAATAAAAAGATTAATTATCTGGTACATAGTATTTAATAACTTAAAAATAAGAATGAATGAAGCAAACGAATTTTAGAGGGACTAGAAATATAATGTATAAATTTTATTGGAATAAAAACATATATTTGAATTGAGGAAGGATTATTCACAAAATTTGTAAGTTTGTCTAACATCCAATCCGAAAAGTCACTTCCTCTAGTTTTTTTATGTTTTGGTTTTCCAGACTCAAACAACAAACCCAAACAGCCAATTTTATAAAATTTAAGAAAAATATTGATAAATTTTAAAAAACGTGTTCAATCATACTCCGTAATTTTTTTGAAGATAAAAACTCCGAACGCAACAAATCACATATTTTGGTTCTATAAGGAAACATGAGAAGTGCTTGTAAAGCTTATTCTGGAACGTCATAACTGAATTTTAAAACAAAATGTTCAATTCTTTGTGAGATATTGAAAAGAACAAACACAATAACAAAACGTAGCCTTAGCATACCTAATATCATTTCATTATTTGTCTACCACACCCTTTACATTTGTTTTTTTTTATCACCCAAAAAAAGTGTTTAGTCTGGGTCACAGTTAGGGCCTACCAGTCTACTATAATAAGCTTACATTTCCATAAATACCCTTAGCCACTGTCATTCACCAGTGGCTATCATTAACAAAGTTGTGACTTGTGAGTGGATATATGGCATGCAACTCTTTCTTATCTATTGCTATCATTTTTCTTTCTTTTTTGGCATTGCACCCACCCTACCAAAGGGGACTTCAACTCAGAACCCACTCCCCTCCAACTTCTTCTTCTGCTGCTTGCCTGGACTCATCAATGCTCCAAAAGGAATCTGCCACCTCAGCCCCGAACCAATCGTCAAACGCCAGCTGGCATTCCAACATGGAAGCGTCGAATGCTGACGTGGCAAGGTGGCCGAACCCGTCTTCCTCAAACACACTCCTAGACTCATAACCTGTTGCCACACAAGTATTGCATGCATTTTCCTGCTTGGAGTTCTCTGGTTTTGCCATTTCATGGGTTCCTGAACTTTCATGGTTTGGGGTTAGTTTGGGAAGTGGGTCGTTCGGGCTAGGCTTCGAAGAAGAAGAAGATGATGAAAAAGATGGAGAAGGAGAACACATCAAAGAGGAAGTATGGTCTATCTTATCGATAACCAATCTTGGCATCCAAAACCTCTTAACGGCTTCAATGAACTTGTTGCTATTCGAATCGATCTTGAGCTGCCTGGCTTGCTTCTGGACCCGCGTCCTCCAGTAATTCTTGATCTCGTTATCTGTTCTTCCCGGCAAATGCTGTGCTATTTTCGACCACCTAGCAAATCGTCACGCACACAGACAAACATTATGGGAAACCAAAACTAGCTACATATTTAAGGGTTTTTTGAATCCCATTAAAATTCGAAACATGAATATTATATCACTCCCTCCATCCTAATGGATATTCAAGAACATACATAGCAAATCGTGAAATAGTCTCTCTACTTCACAGTAGGTGTAAGGTGTGCGCGCACACCCTTTCCGAACCCTACTTTTGTGGGATTCATATTGGGTGTGTTGTATATTCTCAATTCGGAATAAAATGCAAAGGAAAATCAAGGACATGATTAATTTTTCCTCTCATTCCAAAATTTGGTGGTTTAAGATCACAGTTGCAATCTACAGGTAACTAATAAGCAAACAATGAATCAATAACTTGTTTAAAAGTGACCTGTTCCCCCATTTGGAATGGAGTTCAAGGATTAAGATCTGTTCTTGTGGAGTTAGGTTTCCGCGTTTGATGTCGGGTTTCAAGTAGTTCAGCCACCTCAGTCTGCAACTCTTCCCAGTCCTCCTCAATCCTGGAAATATATATGTATAAATGAATGAATTCATTGAAAATAAAAATGGGAAAAATTTGTTGGGGATAAACGAAGATAACGCGGATCGATTTGAGAGTCGTGTAGCACTTTCAGATTGATTATTTTGGTTGTTCAATCCAAAAATCAATCGTATAAAACTCAAATTTTTCAGGAACAAGTATGGATTGATGTGGATTTTCGAACTGTACTTTTGCGACTAAGCAACAGGGAAATTTATAGAGCCGCGGAAGGGAAGAAGGCAGCGGTCGTGTCTCTCGTCCAAAACGTGCGTCCCTTTGCACCAATTTTAAGAAAAACAGGCTATGTTTTTCCTGATAGTTGAAAATTCCAGAATCAAAATTCAAATATTTTTAACATAGCACGTTGGACCCCGCAGGGGTGCCCCAGTTAGGGGCGCTGCCCCTCGGAACCCGAGACTTTTATGATGCCATTGGCCAAATAATTTTTCCAAGAAGTTCGTGATTTTACAATATCACTCTCAAGTGTAATTAAAAAAATAGGGAAATTAAAGCTGACCGGCGCATTTGGCAGAGAGATTCCAGCGGCCTTCGCCGTGGGCAGCGATGTAATTGATGAGGAGAGTGTCTTCCTCGAGAGTCCATGGGCCCCTTCGGAGCTCCGCCGCTCCCGACGTCTCGTCTTCGATTGAGGTTTTGGCGGTGGCGTTAGCGACCACCATGGACATGTATATGGAGATGGAGTACTAGTGTATTTTATGGAGCAGAAATTGAAGGGCTGCTAGGGATTTTATAGTAGATGAAAGCCAGGGGCCGGGGGGAGTTTTCTACTGGTAAAGGCGAAAAGAAAGAAAGAAAGAAGAAGATGAAGAAGAAAGAGTGAATGTGGATGGAACAGTGGACCCGACCAGAGGGTGAATGAACAAGTTGTGGTGGGGTAATTCCACGTCGTGTGACACTATAGTAGTTTCTTGAGAGATGGTAAAGTTAGAAACATTTTGATTACTCACAAACTAAAATAAATTTGTCATTTGAATTTGAGGATATCCCCCAAGTAAATAATACTCCCTCCGTCCCATGAAACCTTTCTCCTTTCATTTTTTATCTGTCCCACAAAACACTTTTCATTTCTATTATAAAGTCACTTTTACCCCTTACTTTTTCATACACTAACTATCACATCATGCCTTTTTACTAATAATCTATCCATCAAATCATACTTTTACCCATCACATCAAAAGACATTTTTGGAAATTCAATACCAAAATACACTCCCTTAAATCTCTCCTAAAAAGCAAAAGTCCCATGTTTCATGGGACGGAGGGAGTATATTTTAAATAATTTTAAAAATAAAAATTCAAAATACAAATAACAAATTTCTGTAGTTTGTGATCAAGGATTCCTCTCACCTCTCTCCCCAAAATGTCAAATTTTGTTCAATTCGTTTGCCTTTTTTTGTACCTAATTTTGTAGTTTTGTAAATATTTTGATATAATTTTTAAATATATACTACGGGTATAATTTTATTTTTAAATAGCTTACCAATTGTCAAATAAAAAAATTAAAAATAACTAATCAAATCTCATAATGCGCTACGAGAATAAAATTTATGAGTGGAAAAAGTAATGGTTATAAGATTGTGGTTCATTGATACTGTCATGAGTCAAACCTGTCCATTGTGTTACTTTCTATCCCCTATTAACCAGTTAAACAATGTTTTGGAGTTAAAATTATGGAGGATACATTTTTATACTAGCAAGTCAACCCATTGTGACCTTACCACACAAAAACTCGACCTACGACTTGGATCTACGGATAACTAGTACACATTGTTTGCCCCTACATGATTGACAAACCTAACTTGGGTTTTGATTTTTTTAGAGTATTGGTAATACTGATAAGTGATAACCATGAAAGTAGAATCAATCTCTCGAATCTATTACTAAATTTTTTTATTTGCTAAGATGCATACACGGTTACTCAAATTCAACAATTCCACAAAAAAAAAATTTAATACTCCGTACTTTCTTGGTTCACAAAAGAAATTTATGATTATTATTTTCAATGTCAAAATATATTAGTTTCATTGTAATTTTATTACCCTGGACTTTTAAAAATGTAGCATCAATAATCTTTTTGTGCCTGATTGGATTAGAATATATTATAATTCGGCATCAGTCTATCAAATTCTTTGTCAATCAATCAACCTTTTCATTAATCCATGACACCTTCATCAAACTTGAACATGTATATTGATCAACGTGGGATTAACACGTTCCTAAATCTGGCGCAGAAAAACCATTGATGTAACATTTTTAAAAACTCGGTGACCATTGGTAAAATTTTAAAGTTTGAGGGAGTTTATGCAATTTTTGAAGAGTTCGGGGTAATTGGGACTAAAAACTCGGTTCCAACATATTTAATCCTTTCATATGTCAAAGTTCTAAAAATGTGTATGGACCCAAGAACAAAAAAAATTGCTTAAAAAAAACATTACATTTTTATTTTTTTATTAAAAGATAAGGATTATGTGGTCTACAAAAATACTCTCTTCTAAACATATTTTACCCGCTCATGTTTTATTTTTATTGCTTTTCTGATTTTCCTAAACACAAACATTATCGTTTTTTTGGGAGAGGGAGTGTAGATGACATGGCTAAAAGAGCTAGCGGGTGTGGTGTGTACTATGGACATGATTGGTCCATAAATGGTGATAATATGAGATTATTCCTAATTCTCTATAATTAAATATTACTCTAGTATTCTTTTTTATGTATATCTTTTTACAAAAAGTTCTTTTTTTAATTTTTGTTGTGTTCGTATTAATTTAAAGAATAAAAATGTAATTTCACAATGATCATATGTTTTTCTTGTCATTCACAATTTCGGAGACTGCTTTTGATGCCTCTACCTATCCCTTAAGGACAAATTGGGTTCAACTCTTAGATGTTATAAAAGGTCTTTACAAAATTGATTTTAGGTGTTTGTTTGAGTTACTCTGGTAATGTAATACTCCCTCTGTTCCAAAAAGATCTACTCATTTCATTTTTTGCACATCTCATTAAATACTTTTATCTCTTCTTAAATGCCAAAAAATTTTTAAAACAACTTCTAGCTACAGTAAAAGGTAAATATGATAAATTTTAAGCATTTTAGATGTGGGTAGATATGTTTTATGATATGTACAAAAATGAAACGCATAGATCTTTTTGGGACGGAGAGAGAACTATTGAATTGATAAGTTTTTTTTGAAGTACGAATGATTGAGTATTGAAAAAAAGCTACGTAATTTTTTTAAAGGTAATTTAAAGAGTTTAAAAGAAAGAACCCCAGATTCCTTCAGAACGGTTAAGACTCATTTAAAATGAATTAAGTTAAGCTATAATTACAAAATGATTGGCAAAAAGTAAAACTTACACCTAATACTTGTAGGATAGTGTAAAGAATTTAGTATAATGGTACAAAGAATTTTCTTTATCAATTGGCAAACTTATTGTATTTTTAGTCTTTAATTAAATTAATTGTTAACATTATATGAAAATTAGGATTTTGTTAACCTCATCAGTGCAATTCTGATTAGAAAATAGTAATTGAGAATTTTACCATTGATGTGAGATTTTGATTGTGTTAATTACTCACACACTTATTGGTGAATTACAGAGCAATAATTGAGACTTTGAAATACTCTTGGAATGAACCTACAAATATGCCCAAAATACTTAGTTTCTTAAAACATGTGCATGGACCTTCTCTTTCTGGCATCTTGCTCATCTTGTGACATCTTTAATTACCTCTCTTAACACACTCTTGATCACCCCTTGAAAACACAATTTAGAAAATAGCTCCTTTGCAGTAAATGTTTACCACTACAAACCTATGTTCATTCCATCCAAAAACTACTACCTCTCTCTCTCTCTCTCAATATTTATTGAAATTTAATTTTTTATAGTCAATCACTTTCAACTTTTGACATTTAATTAAATAAAGTTTATAAAGTATATCGATTAGATAAAATAATATTTAAAAATTATTATATAAAAATCTCATAAAATTATTTTTGTACCAATTTCTAATACGTAGTAATAATTTTATTTAATTAGTGGTCAAAGGTCGTCAATTTTGGACTGCAAAAATTTAAAACTGGATAAACGCTCAGAGACGGAGAGAGTATATCCGATATTCTTTTATAGACTTTCTAAAAAAACATTTTTCCCTTGTTTTTTCCAACGAATCAATTCAATCAAATAATCTAGTTTATTGTTTTAGTCCTACGAAGAGTTTTTATATGTTCACTTACGTACACGCGGTGAAGTTTGAGCTCGGCACTGATTTTATCAACATGACTCTGATACATATTAAGAAGTCAATTCAATCAAAGCTCAAACTTATGGTTAGTGTCTTGAAAATAAATTTAAATTCTAATACTCTCTCCGTCCACAAATAAACTTCCCGTTGCGCGTTACGATGTTTGACTAAAGTTATTTTCGAATCATTTTATATGAAAAATGATGTACAATTTAAAAATAAAAATTACATATTAAAAAATTATATCAAAAGATCTAAAAACTGGATGTGACATGACTATATTATTTTATCAAATAGGTGACGAAAATAGGTCAACAAAGTGAATAAAATCAAAATATTCTTTTTTAAACCACTTATGTTACTAAACATGAGAAAATAAAATCAAAATTTTCCAAGAAAATGTTTCACCAACCAAACAGACCCCTCGTATTTCGAAATAGTACTTATAAACCCGAAGAAATAAACAATAGGTTGGGCTTAATTTTTTATATAAAGAATAGTTAGGCCTGGTTAGTTACTGGGACTTGGACTCTTGGGCCTCTATTCTTAATTTTTAAAGACACACTTATACTCCGTAGCTTTGTTTTAAAATGGACTCTATATTTTTGGGTTCTAGATACTTTGCCCAACCAGCCTCAAGACACGAGTCTGCGTACATTAAATCTGTGGATTTTAGTGAATACACCTTCCCTCTTAAATGTAAAACTAAAGCCCAATTGTGAATTATGATGGTTGATTAATTACTCCATATTTAACTTCTTCTTTTTTTGTTTTTTTTTTTTGTTTTTGTTTTGCAGAACCTAAGAAAGACAAACTATGTTGTTGAGGTTTAGTGATTCCACTGATTTCAAATGCACCCTTCCAACTTTTTTAATCTTCCCACTTATTATTCACTGGAAATAAATTATCATCTTTTATTATATATTTTCATTAAACATTTAATAAAATAAGACATGCCACTTTTCTTTTTCTTTTTTTTTTTTAATTTTTGAAGTAGAATTTGAATAAATAAATTTTTTTCTATTTTTTATCAATATTCAAATTAAATAAATTAAGTTGAAAATAATTTCATAGTAACATTGTAATTCGAAACGAAAAATTTGAATAACGAAGGATGCAGCACTTAATTTTTTTGTTTCAAATAAAAATAATTTTATAGGAAAAAGTAAATAAAAGATACATAAAGGGAAGACTTTGCCTTTTTCTTCCACAATGAAAGGAAGAACACTTATTTGTTGAAAGTGAAGTATGTACTAAATAGGATTAAAATATTAGTCATTTGTCAATGTAGGACATAAATTTTTTTATTCTCTAAATAGTACTCGTATTTAATAATATCTAGTGGGAGGAATAATGTCCAGTGATGGTGGACATTTACTTGAATAATGACTAATGGATAATGACCAATGGTCTTATATTGGGAAATAAAAACATATGATCCTATATTGAAAAAGTCATTATGTTATAGTCTTATTTAGATAAATTCCTCTGGTTGAAAACCTTAAAAGACAAATCTTTGAAAGGGAAAATATGCTAAAGGATGAAATGGAAATAATTACTACTCTATGTCCACAAGTTTCTTTTCTATTTTGAGTTTACATGCTTATTAAGAAAAGTAAAAAATATAAAGACTTATGTTTATGAAAAAAAATTTGACTGCTCAAAAAAGAAAGAAAAAAATTAATCGATCTAGGGAGTATTTAAGTAGCTAGGGATAAATCATACGGAGTAATACATAGTACAATATCTTAATACTCCCTCCGTCCGAAAAAAATCTTCCCGTTTCTCCTTTTTCCCGTCCGGAAATAATCTTCCCATTTCTAATTTTAACCCCAAATGTTCCAAAAATATCCCTCCCATCAAATCTCACCCTCACTCTCTTCTTTCTTCTTCTTTCTCCCTCCTCTTTTTTCTCAATCGGCCACATCTCTCTTTTATCTTCTCCTCTCTCCCTCTCTTCTCTCTCATCTTACTTTTCTTTCTCGATCTACATCTTTTTTCCCTAGTTCCCTTCTTGTTCTTCGATTTCTTGTCTTCCCACGCTCCTCTTCCTCTTTCTTCCCCTTTCTCCCTTCTTATCCATCTCATCTTAGATGTGGTAGATCTATAGCTTTATCTTCTCTTCCTCCCTTTTCTCTTTCTCCCACGTGTGACGATGGTGGATGATGGTGACGATGGAGCTGGCACGGTGGTGTTGATGGTGGGCGCTGGCGGTGACTGTGATGAGGGGCGGCGGTGGGGCTGTCGACTGTGATGAGGGCGGCGGTGGGGCTGTCGACTGTGATGAGGGCGGCGGTGGGGCTGTCGACTGTGATGAGGGCGGCGGTGGGGCTTGCAAGGGTGGCGACGGGCTGGCGGTGGTGAGTGCTTGCAAGGGTGGCGACGGTGTTAGGGTGGCGGCGGTGAGTCCTCTGAAATTCTTCTCTTCTCTCTCCCAAATCTACGGTAGATCTGTAATAGATCTTGGTTGAGGGCCGATTGTGGTGGGGGCTGGGTGGCGGAGCTGACGGCGACGATGGAGCCAGTGACGATGAGAGCGGTGGTGGGTGCTAACCCTGGCAGAGATCAGGGCCTTCAGGGGAGGGGAGGGCAGGGTTGGGGTTGTAAAACAGGAAAGAATTGAAGGGTAAATTGGACATTTCTCTTCCAAAGTCAACCATCCAAAAAAATGAGAAAAAGTCTAACCGGGAAGATTTTTCTCGGACGGAGGGAGTATGTTTTTAGAGAAGTTGTCATGTACTTGATGTGCACAAGAAGCTATCACATGGATAAAACTCCCACAAACGCTATCGGGAATCAATTTTGTGACTTCGGACTTAACACTCCTCCCCTAGATCCATTTAAGCTGTCATGCTGACTACAAATAGCATGAAAAGATATGTACTCTTTCCTTCCGTTAAAACCTTCACATGAGTATAGAATTGTAAATGCGTACTCCCTAAGCCGATTCTAGGGTTTTCTCTCCCTAGTCTTTCTGGGGTTGCCTCCGTTTCGATCGACGAATTTTTCCTGGAGAATAGCCTTGATTTCCCCTCCCTCTAGCAATTGCAGCCATGGAGAATGATGCGGTAGAGGATTTAAATAGGGAGGTCTCGCGAATTGGCCTTGGGAAGGAGGACATTGAGATCTCATTTGAAGAAATTGATGCAGGCCCAAGAGTGGATCTTCCGCCTACATGGATTATTGCCGGGCGTTTCCTCACTTCCCGTCCTATCAAGTTTGACGCAATGAAGCAGGTCATGGCCATGGCTTGGAAACCAGCTCTGGGGGTTTATGTGACACAGGATGAAGAAGGTTTGTATCTGTTCCATTTTTATCACGTTAAGGATGCTATGCGGATTATTGATGAGGGGCCATGGTCATTTGATAATGCGACTCTAGTTTGTAAACTCCTCTCTCCTGGTGAGATGGTCAAAGCTGATGATTTACATTTCGTTGAGATGTGGGTTCAGATTCATAATCTTCCCTTTGGGTATACCACACCGATTGTTTTGGAAACGGTGGGAAAGGCAGTTGGTTCGTTTATCAAACATGATTCGATCGCCGCTACGCAATATCATCGTTCTTATCACAGGGTCAGGATCTCTGTTGATGTCTGAAATCCTCTGCGTCGACGCCTGAAGCTGACTAAACGGGATGGTACAGCAGTTTGGATCCACTTTAAGTACGAGAGACTCAACACATTTTGCTTTTTCTGTGGCATTATGGGCCATTTAGCCAAGCATTGCAGGGCTGCTGTACTATCCAATGTGGAGCCTGAAAATTATCCCTTTGATGGCTCCCTACGGGCGGAGGGGAGGAAAAAAGAGATAAATGTGGGGAGCCAATGGCTGCGAGATGAGCCTACTGGTAGGGCTGTTGAGCCTCCAAACATAAGAGTGCCAACTTACATGGATGCTCAAGTAGATGACCCTATCGAAGCTGGTGCCTTAATAAAAAGGAAAAGGGGTGCTGATTATGATAGGATGCAGCTCCTCAACAAGAATCATAGTGTGGCAGATGGATCAAAAAACGTGATGGAGGCGGGTGCTTGATCCCAGGCCCGCCGCGGTCAATGAGTACTATCAGCTGGAACTGCCGCGGGTTGGGCAACCGGCGGACAGTTCAGGAGATAGCGGACTTGGTTTCCGCAAAAAAGCCCAATTTCGTTTTCTTAATGGAGACAAAAGGTGCTGGCAATCTCGTTGAAAACCTTCGTGTCAAGATTGGTTTTGATGGTGCTTTTTCCGTGTGTAGTGTTGGACGCAGCGGTGGCTTGGCTTTGCTTTGGAAGGAAAATGGTACGGCTAGTCTCCTTAGCTATTCTCGGTCGCACATTGATATTTTGGTCTCCCTTCCTAACACTGAGACTTGGAGACTCACTGGTTTTTATGGGGACCCTCGTAGAGACCATCGTAGGGAATCTTGGAACTTACTTCTTTTGCTTAAGGATAAATCTCCTCTCCCTTGGTTTGTCATTGGTGACTTTAATGATATTTGCAAATCTTCAGAGAAACGAGGTGGTGCCCCTCACCCACCTGCCTTGATTGCTGCGTTCACTTCGACGTTGGAAGCTTGTGATCTTTTTGATTTGGGTATGATGGGCTACCCGTTCACCTGGGACAGATGTCATGGGAAGCCGACGTGGGTGGAGAAAAGGCTGGATCGTGCCGTGGCCACAGTGGAGTGGAGAAACCTTTTTCCATAAGCCTATGTTAGTAACCAAGCTATGCGGTGGTCGGACCATAGTGCTCTCTTTTTGAGCATTAGTGGACCACAGGTTCGACGCGCTCCTCGCAGCTTCCGTTTCGAGAATGCTTGGCTTTTGGACGATGGGTACAAGGGGGTGATCACGGCGGCTTGGAACTCCTCGGGCCACCTACCCTTTCCAGAGAGGCTTAAGGTGTGTGGCTCTCAGTTGGTTAGATGGGGCGGTGATAAGTTTAACAAGTTTGGGAGACGCATTTTGGAGACCCGTAGGCGGGTAGACAAATGGAGGGGTAGCCGAGATCCCATTGGTCTAAAAAATTTTAATGATGCTGATGCTGATTTGGCCAGGTTGCTCGACCAGGAAGATGTGTATTGGAGGCAACGGGCGAAGCAACACTGGCTACGTACGGCGGACGCTAATACACGTTTTTTTCACCAATATGCTTCACACCGAAAGAAGAAAAACAGGATTATGAGGCTTAAGGATGAGCATGGACAGTGGAAAGAAGGTGATCACCTTCTGCCAGTGGTCTCTCACTATTTTAAAAACATTTTCCAAACTGCAGGTATTGGTCCCTCTACTGCTTTTGATGGTTTTCGGACGAGGGTTTCCCGAGCCCAGAATGACTCCCTTGTTCAGCCTTTCACCGATGAGGAAGTGCGTGCTGCTCTTTTTGCCATGCACCCGGATAAGTCTCCTGGTCCAGATGGTATGAACCCTGCTTTCTTTCAGAAATCATGGAACCTTGTAGGCCCGGATGTTTGCAAGTTTGTCTTATCTTGTCTCAATGGTAAATTCCTCCCGGGTAATATAAATGATGCCAATATTGTTCTTATTCCTAAGAAGCAGTCTCCAGAATCTGTGTCTGACTTGCGTCCCATTGCCCTCTGTAATGTCATTTACAAGATTGTTGCAAAAGTTTTGGCTAATAGGCTGAAAACAGTACTTCAAGATATCATCTCTGACTCCCAGTCTGCCTTTCTTCCAGGGAGACTAATTTCGGACAACATTCTCTTGGCAGCTGAATTGGGCCACTTCCTTTGACGAAAACGAAGAGGAGCTACAGGATGGGTTGGTCTCAAACTTGATATGGTCAAAGCTTGTGACAGAATGGAATGGAGCTTCTTAAAACTTATGATGGTCAAACTGGGGTTCAATAATCAATGGATCGAACTCATCATGATGTGTGTCACTACTGTCAGATATAGAGTGCAGGTCAATGGTGACTTTACAGACTTCATTATTCCCTCTAGGGGTCTTCGACAGGGGGATCCATTAAGCCCCTATCTCTTTATTTTATGTGCTGAAGGGCTATCCTTTCTCTTACAGGAGGCGGAACAGAGGGGAACAATGCATGGTATTCGAGTGTCATGTGGTGCTCCTCCCATCAATCACCTTCTCTTTGCCGATGATAGCCTAATTCTTTTCAAAGCCATAATGGAGGAAGCAGGGGAGGTGCTTCGGATACTTTCTGAGTATGAACGTCTCTCTGGCCAGGTTGTTAATTTTCATAAATCCAGTATTTGTTTCAGCAAGAATACTCATTTTCAAGCCCGCAACTGGCTCACAAGTTTTTTGGGGTGGTTGAAGCGGAGGACTTTGGGAAGTATCTTGGGTTGCCTTCTTTCATTGGGCGCAATAAAACAGCTGTTTTTTCATATATTTTGGATAAGATCCGTCAAAGACTTTCACTATGGAAGAGGAAGACGCTTTCTAAGGCAGGTAAGGAGGTTTTACTCAAGACGATTGCACAGTCGATGCCCCAGTTTGCCATGAGTGTTTTCCTTCTCCCCCAATCTACTTGCACTGATATTGAGAGGTTAATGAACGGCTTTTGGTGGGACGGTAAGGGAGCTAACAATCGTGGCATTCGTTGGATGTCGTGGGAACGAATGACTATCCCAAAGAAGTTTGGGGGATTGGGCTTTCGGAATATTCGGATGTTCAATGTTGCTATGTTGGGTAAACAAGGCTGGCGCTTTCTGACCAAACCCAGCTCGCTAGTGGCAAGAGTTTTCAAGGCCCGATACTTTCCTAACAACTCGTTTTTGGAGGCCGAATTGGGGAGACAGCCCAGCTACTGTTGGAAAAGTATTCTTTCAGCCCAAGAAATTCTTCGAAGCGGTATTCGACGTCGTATTGGCGATGGACGAGA